GGTAAGTAAGGTCGTCTCGGTGGGAGATAAGTAGTAGCAATAATTACGTCTCCTTGAGTTGTATTTATTTTTATTGCTAGAAATTCATCCTGGAAGTCATCAATTAGTTTAAATTTTAAGTTTCTTTTAACCGCTATAGCTACTCCGTCATTTTTCTCGCCCGATTTATTTCTTTGGTTTACATAATAGTTAAAGAGTTTTATGGTGTTGTTTTCTGTCTCACCGTGACTGTTTATTAGTATAATGTCAGGGTCAATTTCGCGATATATATTACTTAGGTTAATTCTCTCGGTCTTCCAGTTTCTTACGTTGTGTTGTATTATTCTTAAGTTCTTACTGTTTGTCTATTGTCCATTATTTCTTATACTTGGATTGTGGCTGTTGAGTGGGGGCCTATCATCCTGTTTCCGCTTCTGACTCTTCTGTCTCTGACAGGTCTATTTTTAAAGTCTTTGGCCGTAATCTTTAGTTTGTCCGTAGTAATTAGTGACCAGACATAATCTTCACTTAAGGATTTTTCTTGATATGTCCACTTGTATATCCCTCCTTCACAGTTTTTTACTATTGTCCCTCCTGTTGGTCTCGATGTTGGGATTCCATGTTTTGTTGTACTGATAACTTTTAATCCAATATCTTCAGCAGATTCAGGTTGTATATTGTGTTCAGTTTCCATCTTATCTTCTCTCCTCCTACTCCTTTGTCTTATAGTCTGTCCTTTTGTTATTTCTATCTTCTCTTTGTCACTTCTAGTCATTTGTCTGGGATCTCTATCAGTCGCTTGTGTTCCTTGTGTATCAGCTGTTGCTCCTTGCTCAAGCCTTTGTTCGTCTTGATGTAGTTTTTCTCTCAGTTCGCTTGCATATGTTGTCTGAAATAGTTTTTCAGATTGTGGATTCTCTGGAAATATCATCTCTGGTAGGTTATTCAATTTAAACATTTTCCTTAATTCCTCGTTGTATGATCCGGGTGCAATGATATTGTGCAAATGTGCATGGATCATACTAATCATTACCTTATCGTAGCATTGGCTCACTTAGGTTTATCTTACTGTGGATTCTGGTCTATGAGCCTCTTGGACCTCTCTCTTTGCTATTTCGACGTATGTCGTATCCTTCTTGTCTTGTTCCTTTTTCCTTGATTCTTGTTCCTTGTACTTTATCATGTGTTTTTTTATTGGGCATGCCATTGCTAACATCCTATGTCCTATGTATGCATTCCCGTTTCTCTTACAGTTGAGACAGCCAACATGTGTACTCTTACATTCAGTGTAGGTATGGTCGTCGCCTGCACAATCTGAGCAGTACTTTTTTTCTTTTTCCGGACAGTCTCTCGTTGTGTGTTCTTCATATTTGTAGCAGGAGAAGCAAGTTTGCAGACTGATGAATGTCTCCTTCTTTATTTGATGTGGTGTGACTGACATGTTGAATATTAGAAAGCCCTGTTGTAAAGCTTTCTCAGCCATTGACACTTCTTCAAAAGTAATCTTAAAAACATGAGTATAGTCCTTTATCTTAATGACTTCTTCAATCTTCATCCACCTATTTTGGCGTTCCAGTTCATCTTTCAGGTCTTCCGATGTCTTCCTCCCGATCTCTTGGTCGACTTGACGAACGAAAACTGATCTTTTTGCTTTTTGTTCTGGTGGCATGACAACAATAAGGCCTTCATTGTAAAATATATCTCTTGCTTCTTTTGAAAGGATTTTATCTGAATCAAAGTCATCTTTATAGATTACTTTAAAACCTTCATTGGTGCTGAATATTCTTGTTAGTGGGACTTGCAGTTTGTTGTAAGTGATTTCTGCCACTTTTCCCCTTCCAATAGAGTGTCCCTTATCTCTATGTTTTATTCTAATGCTTGTTGTCATCTTCTTGATTACATCTAATCCTACATATAACACAGGGCTCCTGCCTGGGAGCAGTGACCCCGCCCCCCCCCCTCTTGGATGGGCGTCGGGCTCGTAGGGTTCTGCACCCAGGTTACCTGTGACTATAGTTATGTCTAAGAAAGTTGCCACCTACCGCTGACCCCCGGACAAGGGGTGCCCTGCACTATCACAGGTTCCCTTGCCGGATCGACCGTATCGCTAAGTCCCGCCTCCCGTTCAAAGAACGGAGTGCATGAGGGGGATGAAAAAAGGAAAGAAGAGGACTTAGAGAGTAGAAACAGCCTACCTACCACGCCACGTTCGGTTAGCCAATCAGAGCACCGCAGTAAGCATTACATGTATCACGCCACCGTAGAGGCTTTGCGGTGGCCAATCCCAGGACAATAGACACTGCAGGTAGTAGTCAAAATTTGGGTAGGCCAAATGTTGTTTTTCCAAGTTGGAATTTCCTGTACAATCTGTGATGGTAATTACACCGTCACTATGTTGATAGTACAATCACTAGGATTGAGTGTCTTATCACAACAAGTTGCAGACTCAAACATGCAGCAAAGAATCAGGTCTTCGCAGCTCCGTGTCCAGCAGTCTCCTATAGCAAGCTTGTCCATCGTGTCATATATATTACATACTTCCAGCAGTCCCTTACTTAACTGTGATTGGTGGACTATTCTCTTAACCCGCCAAATTACAGCCAATAGGAGCAGAGAACAGTCAGTCAGCATAATACCCCAACTTATGTTTTCCTGTTGGATATTATTCTCCATTACCTTCTTCACAATGCAATGATACTGGAAATGTGATGGGCGGCTGTGTATTTATTTAACGTTGCTTCTCCCAGAGCTCTAAATAGCGTAAAAACTTATGTAACCAGGGACCCTCCCATGGACAGGAGTCCTCCCAGGGGCCCTCTCAGGGACGGGGGCGCTCCTAGAGGCCATGCCATGGGCGGTGGCGATCTCAGAGTCCTTGCCAGGGGTGCTGGCAATCGAAGGGGGTCTCGCCGGGACAGCAGCGCAGCCAGAGCCATCCAAGGGACGGCAGCGACCTCTGGGGCCCTCCTAGAAACGGCAGCGTTCCAAGGGGTCCTTGCCATGGGCAGTGGGGCTCCCAGGGGCTCTCCCAGCGACAGTGAGGCACATATGAGCCCTCCGAGTGACAGTGGCGCTCCCAGGGGCATTGTCAGGGACAGTGTTCCTCCCAGGGATCCTCCCAGTGGCGGCGCTGACCCCAGCGGCCATACCAAGGGTCCCCAGGGGCCCTAAGGCATGCTTGTCCGTCGTGTCATATATATTTCATAATTCCAGCAGTCCCTTACTTAACTGTCATTGGTGGACTATTCTCCTAACCCGCCAGATTACGGCCAATAGTAACAGAGAACAGTCAGTCAGCACAACACCCCAACTTATGTTTTCCTGTTGGATATTATTCTCCATTACCTTTTTCAGAACGCGATGATACTGGAAATGTGATGGACGGCTGTGTATTTGTTTAACGTTGCTTCTCCCAGAGCTCTAAATAGCGCAAAAATTACTGCAACCAGGGGCCGTCCTTGTGATGGGAGCGCCCCCAGGGACCGTGCCAGGGGCAGTGGAGCTACCAGCAGCCCTACCAGGGGCGGCGCTCTCCCCAGGGACCGTACCAAGTGTCCCCAGAGGTCCTATGGCATGCTTGTCCGTCGAGTCATAAATATTCCATACGTCCAGCACTCCCTTACTTAACTGTGATTGGTAGACTGCTCTTTTAACCCGCCAAATTACAGCCAATAGAAGCAGAGAACAGTCAGTCAGCACAACACCCCATCTTATGTTTTCCTGTTGGATATTATTCTCCATTACCTTCTTCAGAACGCATTGATACTGGAAATGTGATGGGTGGCTGTGTATTTACTTAACGTTGCTTCTCCCAGAGCTCCAAATAGCGCCAAAACTACAGCAACCATGGGCCCTTCCACAGACGGAAGCACTCCCAGGGGCCGTCCCAGGGACGGTGGCACCCCTAGGGGCTCTCAAAAAAACAACAGCACTACCAGGTCCCTCCCAGGGACGGCGGCACCCGCATGAGCCATTCCAGGGACAGTGGAGCAAGCTAGGGCACTCCAAGGGACAGACGCACTGCCAGGGGCTCTACCAGCGAAAACGGCGCCTTACGGGCCCTCCCAGGGACGGTTGCACCATCAGAGACCCTACTAGGGGCGGTGGCGCCCCTAAGGGCCTTGCCAGAAACGGAGGCGCCCTCAGAGGCCTTGTCCTGGGCGCTGGCGCACTCTGAGGACTTGCAAGGGGCGCTGGCGCCCCCACAGGCTCTCACAAGGACAGGGGTGCTCCCAGGTGCCCTCAGTGGGACAGCGACGCCCCCAGGGGTCATGCAAGGGACAGATGAGCTCCCCGGGGCGGCACTGACATCAGGGACCGTACCAAAGGTCCCCCAGGGGTCCTATAGCAAGCTTGTCCATCGTGTCATATATATTACATACTTCCAGCAGTCCCTTACTTAACTGTGATTGGTGGACTATTCTCTTAACCCGCCAAATTACAGCCAATAGGAGCAGAGAACAGTCAGTCAGCACAACACCCCAACTTATGTTTTCCTGTTGGATATTATTCTCCATTACCTTCTTCAGAACGCGATGATACTTGAAATGTGATGGACGGCTGTGTATTTGTTTAACGTTGCTTCTCCCAGAGCTCTAAATAGCGCAAAAATTACTGCAACCAGGGGCCGTCCTTGTGATGGGAGCGCCCCCAGGGACCGTGCCAGGGGCAGTGGAGCTACCAGCAGCCCTACCAGGGGCGGCGCTCTCCCCAGGGACCGTACCAAGTGTCCCCAGCGGTCCTATGGCATGCTTGTCCGTCGAGTCATAAATATTCCATACGTCCAGCACTCCCTTACTTAACTGTGATTGGTGGACTGTTCTTTTAACCCGCCAAATTACAGCCAATAGAAGCAGAGAACAGTCAGTCAGCACAACACCCCATCTTATGTTTTCCTGTTGGATATTATTCTCCATTACCTTCTTCAGAACGCAATGATACTGGAAATGTGATGGGCGGCTGTGTATTTACTTAACGTTGCTTCTCCCAGAGCTCTAAATAGCGCCAAAACTACAGCAACCATGGGCCCTCCCAGAGACCGAAGCACTCCCAGGGGCCGTCCCAGGGACGGTAGCACCCCTAAGGGCTCTCACAAGGACACCAGCACTGCCAGGTGCCCTCCCAGGGAGAGCAGCACCCGCATAGGCCCTTCCAGGGGTGGTGGAGCAGGCAAGGGCGCTCCCAGGGACAGCAGCACTGCCAGGGGCTCTCCCAGGGTCAGCAGCGCCCTAGGGGCCCTCCCAGGGACTGGGGCACCATCAGAGACCCTGCTAGGGGCGGTGGCGCCCTCAGAGTCCTTGTCAAGGGTGCTGTCACCCTCAGAGGATATGCAAGGGGCGCTGGCGCCCCCACAGGCTCTCACAAGGACAGGGGTGCTCCCAGGTGCCCTCAGTGGGACAGCGACGCCCCCAGGGGTCATGCAAGGGACAGATGAGCTCCCCGGGGCGGCACTGACATCAGGGACCGTACCAAAGGTCCCCCAGGGGTCCTATAGCAAGCTTGTCCATCGTGTCATATATATTACATACTTCCAGCAGTCCCTTACTTAACTGTAATTGGTGGACTATTCTCTTAACCCGCCAAATTACAGCCAATAGGAGCAGAGAACAGTCAGTCAGCACAACACCCCAACTTATGTTTTCCTGTTGGATATTATTCTCCATTACCTTCTTCAGAACGCGATGATACTTGAAATGTGATGGACGGCTGTGTATTTGTTTAACGTTGCTTCTCCCAGAGCTCTAAATAGCGCAAAAATTACTGCAACCAGGGGCCGTCCTTGTGATGGGAGCGCCCCCAGGGACCGTGCCAGGGGCAGTGGAGCTACCAGCAGCCCTACCAGGGGCGGCGCTCTCCCCAGGGACCGTACCAAGTGTCCCCAGCGGTCCTATGGCATGCTTGTCCGTCGAGTCATAAATATTCCATACGTCCAGCACTCCCTTACTTAACTGTGATTGGTGGACTGTTCTTTTAACCCGCCAAATTACAGCCAATAGAAGCAGAGAGAACAGCTCTGGTCAGCACATCTCCATCTTATATGTTTTCTCCTGTTGGATATTATTCTCCATTACCTTGTTCAGAAGGCGATTATACTGGAAATGTGATGGGCGGCGGTGTATTCACTGAACGTTGCTTCTCCCAGAGCTCTAAATAGTGCCAAAACTACAGCAACCATGGGCCCTCCCAGGTACGTGAGCGCTCCCAGGGGCCGTGCCAGGGACGGTGGCAACCCTAGGGGCTCTCACAAGGACAACAGAGTTCCCAGGTGCCCTCCCAGGACGGCGGCACCTGCACAGAGCCATTCCAGGGACAGGAGTGCTTAGCACCCAAGGGACAGACACCTGCCAGGGGCTCTACCAGCGAAAACGGCGCCTTACGGGCCCTCCCAGGGACGGTTGCACCATCAGAGACCCTACTAGGGGCGGTGGCGCCCCTAAGGGCCTTGCCAGAAACGGAGGCGCCCTCAGAGGCCTTGTCCTGGGCGCTGGCGCACTCTGAGGACTTGCAAGGGGCGCTGGCGCCCCCACAGGCTCTCACAAGGACAGGGGTGCTCCCAGGTGCCCTCAGTGGGACAGCGACGCCTCCAGGGGTCATGCAAGGGACAGATGAGCTCCCCGGGGGCGGCACTGACATCAGGGACCGTACCAAAGGTCCCCCAGGGGTCCTATAGCAAGCTTGTCCATCGTGTCATATATATTACATACTTCCAGCAGTCCCTTACTTAACTGTGATTGGTGGACTATTCTCTTAACCCGCCAAATTACAGCCAATAGGAGCAGAGAACAGTCAGTCAGCACAACACCCCAACTTATGTTTTCCTGTTGGATATTATTCTCCATTACCTTTTTCAGAACGCCATGATACTTGAAATGTGTTGGACGGCTGTGTATTTGTTTAGCGTTGCTTCTCCCAGAGCTCTAAATAGCGCAAAAATTACTGCAACCAGGGGCCGTCCTTGTGATGGGAGCGCCCCCAGGGACCGTGCCAGGGGCAGTGGAGCTACCAGCAGCCCTACCAGGGGCGGCGCTCTCCCCAGGGACCGTACCAAGTGTCCCCAGCGGTCCTATGGCATGCTTTTGTCCCGTCGGAAATATAAATATTCCATACGTCCAGCACTCCCTTACTTAACTGTGATTGGTGGACTGTTCTTTTAACCCGCCAAATTACAGCCAATAGAAGCAGAGAACAGTCAGTCAGCACAACACCCCATCTTATGTTTTCCTGTTGGATATTATTCTCCATTACCTTCTTCAGAACGCATTGATACTGGAAATGTGATGGGTGGCTGTGTATTTACTTAACGTTGCTTCTCCCAGAGCTCCAAATAGCGCCAAAACTACAGCAACCATGGGCCCTCCCAGAGACCGAAGCACTCCCAGGGGCCGTCCCAGGGACGGTAGCACCCCAAAGGGCTCTCACAAGGACACCAGCACTGCCAGGTGCCCTCCCAGGGAGAGCAGCACCCGCATAGGCCCTTCCAGGGGTGGTGGAGCAGGCAAGGGGACTCCCAGGGACAGCAGCACTGCCAGGGGCTCTCCCAGGGTCAGCAGCGCCCTAGGGGCCCTTCCAGGGACTGGGGTTCCAGCAGAGACCCTGCTAGGGGCGGTGGCGCCCTCAGAGTCCTTGTCAAGGGTGCTGTCACCCTCAGAGGATATGCAAGGGGCGCTGGCGCCTCCACGGGCTCTCTCAAGGACAGGGGTGCTCCCGGGTGCCCTCAGTGGGACAGCGACGCCCCCAGGGGTCATGCAAGGGACAGATGAGCTCCCCGGGGCGGCACTGACATCAGGGACCGTACCAAAGGTCCCCCAGGGGTCCTATAGCAAGGTTGTCCATCGTGTCATATATATTACATACTTCCAGCAGTCCCTTACTTAACTGTGATTGGTGGACTATTCTCTTAACCCGCCAAATTACAGCCAATAGGAGCAGAGAACAGTCAGTCAGCACAACACCCCAACTTATGTTTTCCTGTTGGATATTATTCTCCATTACCTTCTTCAGAACGCGATGATACTTGAAATGTGATGGACAGCTGTGTATTTGTTTAACGTTGCTTCTCCCAGAGCTCTAAATAGCGCAAAAATTACTGCAACCAGGGGCCGTCCTTGTGATGGGAGCGCCCCCAGGGACCGTGCCAGGGGCAGTGGAGCTACCAGCAGCCCTACCAGGGGCGGCGCTCTCTCCAGGGACCGTCCAAAGTGTCCCCAGAGGTCCTATGGCATGCTTGTCCGTCGAGTCATAAATATTCCATACGTCCAGCACTCCCTTACTTAACTGTGATTGGTGGACTGTTCTTTTAACCCGCCAAATTACAGCCAATAGAAGCAGAGAACAGTCAGTCAGCACAACACCCCATCTTATGTTTTCCTGTTGGATATTATTCTCCATTACCTTCTTCAGAACGCATTGATACTGGAAATGTGATGGGTGGCTGTGTATTTACTTAACGTTGCTTCTCCCAGAGCTCCAAATAGCGCCAAAACTACAGCAACCATGGGCCCTTCCACAGACGGAAGCACTCCCAGGGGCCGTCCCAGGGACGGTGGCACCCCTAGGGGCTATCAAAAAAACAACAGCACTACCAGGTCCCTCCTAGGGACGGCGGCACCCGCATGAGCCATTCCAGGGACAGTGGAGCAAGCTAGGGCACTCCAAGGGACAGACGCACTGCTAGGGGCTCTACCAGCGAAAACGGCGCCTTACGGGCCCTCCCAGGGACGGTTGCACCATCAGAGACCCTACTAGGGGCGGTGGCGCCCCTAGGGGCCTTGCCAGAAACGGAGGCGCCCTCAGAGGCCTT